ATAGCTGGCCCACAAACACAGAAACCCTAAAGTACGCAGGACTTGGCTAGAGACGGCGAGGCCCTACGCTTCTTGCAACAATCCGTGAAGCCGGAAGCACCCGCAGGAAAAAAGCCGGCAATGCCTGAGACCGCGGAGAAACAAGGCGAGGCTGGAGACGGCGGGGCAGATGCACGCCAGGACCAAGAACCCAAGAGTCGACATGGATTTCCGGTGGGTAGCATTGTGATCACGACGTCGGTGAAGCACAAGAGTAAGTACCACAACCAACGAGCCGAGGTGGTCGCTGAGTTGACCCACGAGGTGAAAGTCCTTCTCCTGACCGGTGATGCGGACACGGAAGTAAAAAAGTTTAAGCCCGAGAACTTGAAGCTCGCCCCGCCAGAGGAGAAAGACACGGCAAAGCCCACCAACACCGCCGCGGAGCGTGCCCAGAATCTTTTCGCAGGGGACGACCTTGATGGATTGTGACACCACGCCCGTGGATCGAGCCAAAAGAGTTTTCTTGCATGGGAGCTGGGCCTGAGCTTTCCCAAGCTTGACAAACGTAGCTAACGGAAGAGTTGAAGCAGCCGACATGGGGCAACAAAGCAATCGCGCCCTACATAGTTTGAAATGTTCCTACGCAGGTAGTGAACGCTTGTTGATGTTGAGAAGCAAATCTTGTGGCGGTTTCTTGTTTGCGCCAAGCTAAGCCGCTATTCACCGCTAATTGCCGCTAACTGTCGCTAATAGGAACTGCCTAAGACGCCTGCAAGCCTCCAACAGTTGCTACTTAACTGTATATAGCCCAACACCCACCTCATGTTATCAGCTTATATGAACAAATGCTCATGATGCAGTGTACATATATATATATATTGTTTATACAGTTGAACATAGAGTTAGCTACACACATCAGTGGCCTTGTTTTTCGTTTCTGTCCACTGCGAATCTCCCCGGGCCGTGTGTCTTTGGAGGCTCCCTTGCCGGTGCCCGCCGCCCGGCCTCAGAGCCCCAGCTCCTTGCAGCGCGCAAGGGAGGAGGCGGCTTCGTGTTGCCGTGGAACCCAGACAAATGGTCTGAATGGTCCCTTCAGGAAAACCGTGTAAAATCGTCTTCCACCCCTCAGGTTTCCAGGTCCCATGTTAGTGGATGGGAGAGCAATGTAAGGGCCTAGAAAAAAAACACGAATACTTTACTCCTACCATTATGGCTGACATTAGAGAAGCACAAGCGCCCCAGAATTCCATTCTGATTCTGAGACGCTTTTCATCTGCACCTTTGGCTTACCAGGGGTGTTCCTTTTTTTTTGGTACATGGTGGTGTCGCTTTTGCTGCCAGGGAAGGGTCATGGCCAGCATCATCATCATTGGCGGAGACTGAATCGATGACCTCGGTTCATATACTTCAGACTCAAGGGAGCCATTGCAGAATCATTTTTGGGACCATCATTGTTCCAGTCAGGGTCATTACTCTTAGTGATTTATTTAGTTCTGTTAAGAGTCATGAGCTTGCCATGGCTTCCCTTGCTTTGGCTCCAAATCAATGTCGGACATGGAAGAACTCAAGAAAAGCTGGTTCCCAAGATGGATCCCGAAGTTGCAAGTGGTGTTGCCTTTTTTAATGCTGAGCTCACCGATTCGAGGGCCAAACAAGCCCACCATCATGAAGATCCCTTGCTTGGGGGATCGCTGATTCCAGGTGTTTGACTTATTGTGCAATGCGGCATCTTGCAGAGTTAAGCAATTTTAACCCTTGGTAGGACAACATGGACATGGAGATCTCCCTTTTTGGAGGGTCTTTCACCTTTTGGGGAAGGTCCTGATGAATGCGGCCGGGCCGGTTGATTGATTAATGTTGACCCCTGATTAGTGAATAACCCTTCCAGTTATTAATCAGGGGGGGTCCGTTTTGAGGTGGGATTCCTTCCTTCCAGGGTGTGACTGAGGGGTTTACGGCACTTGGATGTTCAACCAACTTGGTGAGTAGACTACAAGCATGGCTGTAAGGGAACTAACCCCAGTTACACGAGGTATAACCATGGCTATGACCTACGAAAGCTGGTTTGCCATCCAAGTATGAATCAGGGGTCAAAGTAGTTCCCGTTCTCTGTCGACGTAGGCCCAAGCAGTGGAGCGGCGTCTCGCGGGCAAAGCCACGCTGCCGCCGCCACCGCCGCCGTCATCGTCACCGCCCTCGTGTGGGAGCCCAGAGCGGCGTCCGAAACCGCTAATGACAATTTCCCAAACCTCCAGTGGTGTCTTTTTTTCCTTGTTTTCCCAAGTCTTTGCCCAGATAGGTTCTGGGGTAGCTTGGTGCGCGTTTTGGAGGGTTTTGGCAGGTTTCTGTTGGAGCTTGTCTTGGAGGGGGCTTCCCTTTAGTTTCAATCAACACACAAGAGTGCCTTTTTCTTTCCCATCGGGGGGGGGGGGGCGGGGTTTGGGATTCTAGTAAGTAGTTCCGAAACGATTAGCAAAATGTGGCTCCCACCATCATGCCAGAATTGGCTTTAAAGTACTGTGCCCCATGGCCATAATGGTACAGCTCTTTGCCAACCCAAATCTCACCCATGCATTTTTGGTTCTGGGTATGTCCCGTGCAGCGGGGGGTCCAAACAGGACCACTGTTTTTGTTGATTGGGAAATGCAAGGTTGGGGTATCATGAGTTGAAAGGACCAGGCGCTGATTTTTCGTCAATGGGACTAAGGGCTGCGCTTGAGCAATGGGCCGGTTAGCAATGGATCCGCCCAATCAAACGGCCTAGCCTAGGTTCAGGGTTGGAAGGGATTCGGGAAGCCCAGTTCAGTGGGTGCCTGTCATATATATATATATATCAGAATAAGGGGAACCCTTTGGCTTCCCTTTGAAACAACCGCAGAAAGGGCAACCTCAAAATACATACACACATGCTATACCTTTTGCCTTTTTGGTTTCCCGCAAATCACTTGGCAACTGGGTCATTTGAAAGGTATCACAGAAGGTTTCGTTCCTGCGGAATGAAGCTCGGGGTCGATAGTAGACACCCTCTCCGCTGCCGCTTGTTGGAGGGAGGTGCGGGTCGTTTGAACATGTCATGCACCTTCCTTTACGGATTGTCAATTGCCAGCGAACTCAAGGGAAAACCTACAAAGAAGGGTCCTTCCTAGCGGAAAGCCAACAGAACATTGGGATGTGGTTTGTGTATGAGCGCCAGACACACGCCCAAAGCGGGTTTTCCCCCCGGCCCTTGCACCAACAACATGATAATTAGGTGGTGTCCCTTTCCCACCCCAAAGAACAACGGCTTTCCCTTGGCTTCCCTTCAAACCAACCCTGTTCACCGCTGGAGTCTATCTCGCTGAGGCCTGTCCCGGGTCCATGCCGCACCGTGCCAAGCCTCAGGTCGTTGGTCGTGAAACGGGGTCCTCGGGATCACAGTGTGTGTGTGTGTGTGTGTGTTGCTTTGAGAGTGTTCACAATGTTCAGCTTGTATGTTGAGGGTTTTGCCAAATTTGGGAGTTGGTACCCTTTCATCTTGGTTTAACAAGCTGACCTGAATGTCCTCATGTGTGTGTGTGTGTGTGTGTGTGTGTGTGTGTGTGTGTGTGTGTGTGTGTGTGTGTGTGTGTGTGTGTGTGTGTGTGTGTGTGTGTGTGTGTGTGTGTGTGTGCGTGTGCGTGTGCGTGTGCGTGTGCGTGTGCGTGCGCGTGTGTCTGTGTCTGTGCGCGTGTGTGCGCGTGTGTGCGCGTGTGTGTTGTGTGTGTGTGTGTGGGGTGTGTGTGTGTGTGTGTGCGTGTGTGTGCGTGTGTGTGTGACATGTCAGGTGACTTGAGTGCCTTGGCAGCATGGTGATGTTTGTTTGATGGTTTTCAGCATGGTTTGAAGGGAACCAAAAGGACAACTGAAGGCAATTTTCAGGGTCGCTCATGCTATTTGGCCAGTTTACGGCGAGCTCACCGATTCGAGGGCAACACGAGGAGCGAAAGCCCGGATGTACTGATTGAGAGCCATGGTGGGTTATGGCTTTCAATGGTTCTCAATGGCCCCGAATAGTCCATAGAGTCAGTAGTTATTAGGTTGTAATGGCTTCCCTTACTATAGCTTTGAATAATCAGTACATGACTTTTTGGGAAAAGCGGGGTTGGAGTGAGGGACGCGTTGGTTTCCACTGCTTGACCTGCTTCCCGTAGAATTTGCCATTCGGAAGGCGGAGCTTCACAGATCAGATTACCCTGTGGTGGTTTGGATTGGCGGGATTTGGACCCCCGGCTCGTCTGAGTTACTGGATTTGTTCATCCCGGAACACCTCCAAACCAATCCATACCGCCAGGTAATTGGAGGGAAGCCGACCAGAGGTGGTTGCAGTTGCACGCGTTCTTCCTTCTTTCTCCCTTCCAGTTGGAAGGAAGACGGTTCAAGACTTGAGAGTTTAAGAGAGATGTGAACCCTGGCAGTCTTTGCCTGTCCACTTTCAGCAATCCTGGCGTGAAACATCAAATCTATTTGGTGTACCAGGAGCAAGGGCATTGCTTGCAGCAGTGCTGCGTGGTTGGGGGGGGTAGTGACTTTCGAATTCTGGGAAACAAATGCACTTTGGCTGTGTCTTATGTGACTGCTTCAAAGCGAAATAATCCTGGAAATTAGGAGACACAGCGGACCGACACAAGAATCTTCTCTAAAATCCTTATTTCTAGGATTTTATAGCTGTTTGGGTTGCTGTCCAAGTTAAGCGCGCTCGACAAGTGGTACACCAGGGCCACTTGCCAATGTGAACAATCCAGTCTGGTTTACCCTTCCCTTTTGCCATCATTTTGCGGGGCTTTGCACTTGGGCCTGCCAAACAGACCGATGTGAATTGGTGTGCATTGCAAGCCTTTGACACGCTCGGGGCATGACAAATGTGTTTGCCTCCTGCTCGAGCATTGGCTGTTTCAAAGTTGCATAAATGCAAACCAACCAGCAACAACATGACCGCACAACACACATCCAACAACACAAATGCCTATCTGACAACAACATATACGCAACCCAATTGGCTTTCCCCGAAATTTGGACATCGTGCCCGGCTTGCCTCACTTCCGGCTCATGGCGTGCCTTTTTGGCAAATCCGCGGAGGGTGACGACGAAGAGGCGCGCCAGCCGCCAGACAGGGTTAGGACCGTGTTTTCATGAATCAAGGGATGCCTGGACAAGGCCCTTGTAAGACCCGAAGGTTTAACTTTTGACAGCCCCTCCTTCCCATAGACCCCTGTAGGTTCATGCTTTCTGTGGAAAGTGGTTTTAAGGCCACTTTCTGTCATACCAAGGGCGTCCTCTTAGAATCGGAATGGCCTATGTTGGTATCACGGAAAGCGTGATTTCTGCTGTTTGTCTCAGTTGGTAAGCGGCGCAAAGCCTTGGCTATAAGCCACTCACAAGTCCCCGAAGTGGATTATACCCTAGGTAAAAGGATTTAATCAGCAGAGTCCCCCTCGAGTCGATGAGTACTCTACTAAAAGCAGAGCACTGATTAGTACAGTCGGCATGAATCCGAAGTTGACATGAACCATATTATGCATAGCCGGCTGACCCCGCGCGTGTTCTCATTTTCTGAAGTTGGGGAGCAGCTAGAAGGTTTCCATCCACCCAACTGGGCGCGCCCGATTCCGTCAGGCGGTGCTGAAGCTTCCGAACGGGAAGGAGCACCGTATCAAGGCGCAGCACGTTTAACGCGGCGGTGATTTGCTGCTGCGGCGCGGCGGTGATTTGCCAGGATGAGGGTGATTTGCTGCGGATCCGGCAAACCTCCAAGCGGTTGTTTGCGGTTTTTCTCTCGGCTTCCTGTTGAAACCTAGGCCCCAACAAGGGTTTCGAGTTGGAACACAGCCATAAAGGGGACAAGTACTTGCATAGTTGATTGTCCTGTGACAATGCCAATTGGTTCGATAGTATCCAAGACCCCCTTTTCCAAGTTGATCCAGTACACATCTCCGGACAACGGTTCCCTGTTTGGTTTGCAGTCGTGCTCTTTGCGCTTGGACCGGTTCCGCAGAGAAGCAACGGGTTGTGCCCGAGCCGCGCGTTTCCCTATCCCGACGCAGGTGTTGAAGCCGACGAGTGGGGAAGACTTGTTCCTCGACATCCGTGACCTTCACAGGACGGCGGGGGTTGGGGGGGGGGCGAGGCGGGGAGTGATGGGGATGGGGAGTGGGTGAGGATTTTGACCGGGAGGTCTTCTTTTTGTAGGACACCTTGTTTTGTTTGTGGTTTGAAGGCAGGATGCGTGAAGCCCATCATCCTCTTGTGGCTTGAAGACTGGATCTCAATGAAACTGGGAACACACCACCCGATTTTCCCTGTAAATGGTACAAGGGCGGGGGGCACGTCTCACAGCAGTGTTGTTACAGTGTGTTTCGCTGTGTTTGGATTTACTTGTTCTATTCAAGGGGGATCCACTGTCAATGGCTCGATTTCTTACCACCTCAATGCCGGGGGCGCTGTTTAAAGTGCCCAAGCCTTCTATTGGCCAAGTTTAGTTTGACATGGCCAACTTACAAAATAATCAGTAAAACTCAGTTAAACCGGTGTCACAATGTTCACGGTTTCAAGGCTTCAGCCACGCACGTGTACAGTCAGCATCGCGTAAGCTTTAATGCTTTGATTCGCCATCTCATGCGTTCTAGAAGTTTTAAGGTAGCCCTGCTCAAAGAGCCTTCAAGTACATGCAAACATTCGCTGCAGACCCAAATTCCTGGCAGGTGTCTGTGCACGTGTATGTTGCGGACACATACCCAAAGTTCCAGCGTTTGTGCAGCATTGCCAAACTCTGTTATGCGCCACTCCTCCAAGACTACTAAACTCTCACTTGCGCGCACCAAGTGCGCTATAGCTAGCCCAACATGCCCATCGTACGTTTTGTTTTTAGGGATTTCCAGGGAGTCCCATTTCACGGCTTTTGCACGGTTTTACTTTGCCATTCACGGGAAAACTGGGTCATTCGCGATTGCTAGAGATTTCACGGTTCCATGTTTGCACACAATTCTACAAACACAATAATTACAAGATTCCTGCTTTGGGCAATACCCTATTTCTCGAATTAATTATGTCGCCAAGCTAGGCGTTGATACACAAGCTGGCGCTACAGACATATGTTGAAATCGTTTAAATGTCTTTTCCAACTTAGTTAGCAAACGTTGCTTGACGCGCCCATTTCAACATGACATGCAAACTGATTGCCCAATATTTGTCAAGGCCTTGATAAGAAACACTCGTACCAACGGACACCAAAGTTGAGTATTGCATAATATGGGGCATTGCTCGAAACGTTTGAACCAATCTCCTTGCAAGAACAACAGTGGTTAATTGTGAGTGAAGCTCGGTCATATCGGGTGACCAAGTTAAACTTGGTCAAGGAAGGCCAGGGAGTGGTTGAAGGGCAATTGCTCGAGACATCCCTCAGTGACCCTGGAAAGATCTTGAAGGGTTGTTTGGGGGCTGTCCAGGGCTTGCCTGAAGGGGTGTGTATTCCCCACAAGCTATTTCCCACGATCCCGAACTGAATGGGCCAAGCCCTCTCGACATCGAAAGGCAAGCTTGTCTGTTGGTTTCGGTTTATGCCCCCAAAAACTGCAAAGATGTTTTTGACCCAAAGGTGGGTGGGGTGAAAATTAATTTTGATATATTGAACCTCGAGGCGTCAAAATCCTCCGTTCCCGAATTCCACGTTTGAGAAATCGGGGATAGTTGGGCAGGACTTGTCCTGGGCAGAGTTCCCATGTTGTCGCTTCCCTTCAAACCACTCTGAGGGCAAATCTCAGCGGATACACCCACAATGGCGTTTAAGGGCTATTTTTTGTGATACCAAGGGACCAAATCAAGTGACAAAGTCATAGGAATGCCTGCACAGAAAGTTTCGGCATCTCCTTCGAAGGCTCACCGGGTACTTCACCTTCGACCCGGGCTTCACGTGCACGGGCTCGTGCCTCTCAGCCATCACCTTCATCGACGGGCCCAAGGAGCGATGGGCTGTGGTTGCCAGGTACAACGACTAGTGCCTAATAGACGGGGCCGAAAAAAGGTCTGCAAAATCATTTCTGCCTGCTATATTCATAAGGGTCACCATCATTTGAGTAACGGTTTTTGTCAGATGATGGATTTTAGCTTCGGGGAGAACACCCAACAGGTCCGCGAAGGCACTTGTCTGATACATAATGTGCCACGAAGCCCAGCAAAGCCCCTCGAAGCAAATTCGCGTAGCCAGGTAACATTGACACAGGCGAAGCCACTTTGCGAATCCACTTCGTGGTTATAGTGTGTTATGTGCTTTCATGGCAGAAGCATGCCAAAGGTTCATGTTTGGAGTCACTTTCAGATGGCTGCCGGAAGGCCGTGACAAGACTACAGGAAGATTACAGTCAACCGAGCAGAAGAGTGCTGTGCGTTTCACACCCGGTTACCCTAGAAACGATAGACCATTTTCGCGAAGCCTTTGCGAAGCCTCCGCGGCCCAACATCCATGCTAAGCCCCTTTGAGGCCTAGAAATGCCCCTAGGCCTGATCAATGTCTCTCTCAACGCCTTTCATCGCCCCCTTAGACCCAACTTGGCTCAAGGAAATGAGTCAGAGATGTTTGTGGAACAAACGTCTGCGAAGCCGGCGAAGCCACTCCGCAAGCCACAGTCTTGCCGCGAAGCCACCCTTCCGCAAATTCGGGCCCGCGGAAGCCCCCGTGCGTCTACTCTACAAGTACCCCTACAAGCATGACTGAACGTGGTTTCAAACTACCCCATTCCCTTGCCTTGCTTTTACCCAGTCCTTTTTGTTTGGAGGGGCCACAACAAGAGTGCCGAATTGGCACTCGGACTCTGGGATTGGGGTTGGGTGCGGTAAAACCAAGTTACGTGATCATAGGACACGGATGTGTGTGATTGCTTGGCCCTTCACTGCTTTCAAAGGAAGCCTTTCCATTTCCACACAATTGCTGACCTTTTGAATCAAAGGCGCCATGAAGAGTCAGTTGCAGCACTTCAAAGAGGACTTGCAAAGGGCCGTTTTTTCCCCTCTTTGTATGTTTCCTTGGAGGTTCCCGACCCTTCAAGCCTCGCATGTCCAGCGCCTTTAAAGGCAAAGCACCCGGATCCCGATTGCCAGGGCATCTGCCTCTACCGGGGATATCCAGTGCCGGAGTTGGTGGAGCATGCCCAAGCTTTGGAGGCGCTCCCATCAACTCACCCGTTGAGTTCCTGGCTCAGGGGTGCCAAGATGTTTCGATTCCGTGGTTTTAAACATCACGCTGACTCTGTAGCGTCATACTGTTGGCAAGACCCTTTGGTGGCCAACAAACAGTTTGGACTTGTTTGTCCAATCCACTCAGGGGAAACGGGCTCAAAACCATGATGAAGGTCCTTGCCTGGGGGTTGGGGGTTGTCCTGTATTTCCAATTTGGGACTTTTATTGCGTAATCTGCCCAGGTGTCCCTGGGACTAAACAAAACCCACAGGCCACATTGTTGTGAGTGACCAAGGTAATTTTGATTAAAGTGAGAATCAGCCACTGTCGTATCGCAGAAAGCATTTTTTTCACCACAACTACAACCATGTGTTCGTTGAGCTCTACACTCGCATTCAAGATGGTCAGTGCACAACTTGTGACGAGCTCACCGATTGGGTTTTTCAAAGCAAGCAATTCCAGGAACCGACTGGAAATCTCAGCAGGGGATCGTGGCTTCAGATTGCGAATTGTAGAAGCCTTTGCAGCTCGAATGGCAAGATGCAGGACAACCGGTGCTCCCTACTTGCAATATGGGTATGGCCCAAATTGAAAAAATATATAAAAATAGCTAGGGTCACGCAGGTTTCCAGTCGTGGTTTCCATTTACCAACGTGCCTTTTTGAGCCACAGCCAAACATGTGTTCAGGCAATGGGTCTCACAATGGCACAAACCTTCTCTTTGTCCCAGACCAAAATGTTTCAGCAGAAGGGCATCAATGGCATGCAAATTGAAATTATCCCCCAAAAAAGGGTCTACAAATATGTATATGTTTTTGATGGTACCCTGGCGTGGCTTACAGGGGAGCATTTAAGGATATTATTAGTTTTGGGGGTTCCCCTATCTTGAGACAAACCCATGTGTGTGTGTGTGTGGGTGGTGCGTGCGTGCCCTTCTCACCTTGGTTTACAAGGAGACAACAAGGACAACGGAAGTCCACGTTCGGGTTTCTAGTCGCACAGCAACCCTCATACACCTGCCAAGGGCGATCCCCCTGATCAGGGGGTAAAATGAGCGCAACTTCCTGATGTAGGGCCTTTATATTCCATGGTTCAGGTTTTGTTTTGGAGTCCTTGTAAACTGTATGCATGCAGAATGGTGGCCGATTTGTTGCAACCTTCTTTGAGTTTTTTTTTAGGAAGTGAGTGTGTCGCAAATTTGAGGATCCAAAGTGGTTGAGTTCCTTTGCTTTCCCCGTGAAAGCCCTCAAACAAGCGGTTTCCTTCCCCAAAAAACAAGAGACCCAAACGGACTCGAAGTGTCCATGGGTCTTGGCGGGTTCTTGAAACCCACAGGTGGCGCATTTGCTGCTGGTGGGTGAGAAGGCCACAAAGGAAGAGTACAAGTCCTTCAAGCGGGAGATCCAAAAGAGCATGTGCCTTGGTCAGAAACCTCCCCTGCAAATTCTCATGGAGCCCCTAAACAAGAAGATATTCCTGTACAATGGTGGGTTAGTGGTTCCACGTTCATTTGTAGGAGAGTATCACTGCTCATTTTGCCATCTTCAAGCCTAGTTTGGCCCATGCCTTTGGGCAATGCTCAGCTCTTGCCGTGGTGCACAAGAAGTGAACGAGTCTTTCTGTGTCTTTTGCTGAGGGCATCCCTTTCTTATGGTTCGAAGGACAACCAACAGGAAAACCACCAATTCTCGGAGGGGGGCCCCTAAAAAACACACGCCCAATTGTGTCAATGTGTGTCTGGTCTCTTGCAGTCCAGCAAGTGGTCTAGAAGCAACTTCAATCCCAGAGCGAAACTAAAAGCGAACACGGCCCCAGCCTTTCGTAAGTGTGGTCTCACCCAATCTTGCCAAGACATGTTTGCTGAGTCAAAACCCTCTGCTTTTCAAGCTGGTTTTTGCTTCTGGAAGGATTGCGGAAGCGACGCAAACAGAAGTTGTGAAAACCATTGGAAAACCTGTCTTTTGCCCGAAAAGATTCCTTTAAGAGACCCAAGAAGCTGAAAGCCTGAAAGCTGAGGCTGGTGCACGAGAAGGTGAAGGCAATGTTTGCCAACTTCACCATCAACGCCCACCCCATGGCGATCATGGCTTCTTGGCATTGGGAGCATGGGATCCCGGGACCAATCATGGATCGTGGTTTTCAAAATTTGAGGTTCCGTTAAACCAAGCCCAAAAAGGGTATCCTCGAAAAAGGCGTGCCCACATGTTGTTTGGTGCAGTGGCTGCTTGAGTTCATTTGTTGGAAGACTGAAACAAAATGGAATTCGGACATCCCCCCCTGCCCCCCTGCCCCCTTTGGCCGGATAGATCCCGTTGCGAAAATGCTTGAGAGCTTGACGACGCTGCACGTTGGGGGCAACCCTGATTCAAACCAAACATGTCTAAATTACTCTTTGTTTAGCAGCCTCCGTTCCCATTTAAAGATCACCAGGGGGCTGGTTGTTGAAACACATTTTGCCCAATGGCTCCTTCTGCAGAGCGCAAATGTCGGAAAATGACGATCCACCCTGCGAGGTGGCCGTCACGGGCGCTCTCAGCTGCATTTTCAGCCACTTGGACGCTCCGGCTCTCGGGTACGGCACGTCCCTTCGGGTGCACGGGTAATTACTTGGCACAACCTCCGGTCGCAAATATGGGCGCTGGGAACCTGCCTAAGGTGCTCCCTTCCAAAGGGGCTACCAAAAGGAGCCGCTGATTTTATGCCTCAAGACTGGCAGACGCCCATAGAAACGCGCATGCTTCACACGTGGATCAGTCTCACTTCCCCTTAAAGGGCCCTGGCCTCAGCCCTCGCCAGAGCTCGTGGTTAGCTGAGTCGTGCCGGTTAAATAAATTCGGTGTCGTGAAACAACTCTTGCTGGTCACTGGGTGACAACAATCCACAGGAAGCACTGGCTGGGCCGTGTTCAGCATAGGCAGCCAAACTGGATCAACATTCCTTGGCTTATCTTAGGCGGATGGTTGCTCGTTTTCGGAGTTGAACAATGTGGTTGCAGCTGTTGGTTTGATGCTGGTGTGAGAGTCTAGTTGGGACCTACTTTGGATGGTGGAAGGAGAATCCAGGAGGAACACAATTGCAATTGGTGGCTGTACCCTCTTCACGAAAACGCCAACTCAGGCAGTCCCCTCCTGGACTCGAAAGAAGGACAAGCCGTTTTTGAGTGCCAACAACAATGGGTGTCCTCTCCGCTCCAAGACTTCGACAACCATTGCCGGACTTGTCTTCTGTAGCTTCTCGCCTTGTCTTGTTTACCAGTTTCCACAACGCGCCGGGTGTTGCGCAAAGGCGAGCTGGACCCCTTCGATGAGGCGCATCGCTGGCTGGCCTGCACCCGCCTCATCGCGAAGGTGCCGGCGCGGAGGCCCAGAGCCACAGAGGGCCGTCCCATGCAGTCATGCAGTGGACCTCAGGAAACGATGGACCTAGCCCATCAAGCCCATAGAAGAGAAACCCACAAAAAAACTTTGGGGTTGTCCTTTCGGTTTCCTTTAAAACCACCAAAACACGGGGACCCTCAAAAACAAACACACCCACAGAGGAGATTGCCCCATGATGGCAATTTCCCGCGATGGAGGGAAACAAACAAGTATTTGCGCTTGCCTAAAACAAGAATTGGAGGGGGTTCCCTTTGTCGTATATTATACGCGATTTTTGGACAAGAATGGAGGGGGTTGACACCACATCACACTCCTTTTGAAGAAAACAACATGCCTTCTAGATTTGCGTTGCTGTTAAACGAGTCGACGAATGTTGTTTTTATGATCTGACCCACACAAGAAGAAATAGCAAGCCCCAGAACATGGGGAGTGGAGTGAGACAAACCAAGATCCCCTTTTCACCACACGGCCGCGACGGTACAACAGGGTTCCAATTTTTCATCTTTGCAAATCCCAAAAGGCTGTGCTTAGCACCAAAATGGCAAACACACGTTTTGTTTTTGCTATTCCAAACTGCCTGAAGTGAGCTGCTGTCTCGTTTTGCTTCGTTGGCCAAGGACAACCATGAATCAGAGTGTTGCCGCGGGATGTGGATTCCAAATACGGCACATGACGGTTTCAAAATGACACCAACCAACGGGACACCAATCGAATGTGCGGCTTTTAAGGGAAGGGCATTTGCTTGGTGTTTTCTTAAAGGGTCCTTAGTCTAAGGGCTATGTGAGGACACAGGCTGTGCGTGACTGTGTCAATTATTCCATGGCTCCGATTGTGCAACGCAAACATCATGTTGCATTCGTCCCCACGCCTTCAAACTGGGCGCGGCGCATTAACTTATATCACGGGCAACCTCGGCGCTTTTCGATACTGATATCCACTTCGCAGTTGATCCCAGTGTCTCATCCCAGTCCAACTGGTGGGCATGGGGATTGAAATTCAAAGACTGAACATTCAACAAATATGCCAATGTAGTTTGCCCTACCTCACCTGGTCCTCTCTGCCCTAAATCCATTGGAGATCTCCGGGTGGGTCCCTTCTCCCAGGTCCTCGCCTGCATGGCCTACAAGACCTCCATAGGCTGCGAATGGACCCCGAGTCCATGGCCCGGGTTTCCATTCAAGACGAAACACCTAAGCTCCAAAGAATATGGATGCCCCACAAAACATGTTGATATGGTATTTCTGGGGTATTTCTGGGAAAAGACCTAGATTTTTGGGATTCTGTCAAGTTTAGGAAAAGATCGTACTTCGGTACTTCCTTTTCTTAATGGTGCCTGTCTGAGGCTCCGACTTTTTGGGTCGCGCGAGTGATCGCCCTACAAATGTCGATTGGCAAGAGACAAATCAAGGGATTCCATTTAGAATGATATCCAAAAGAAACCCCTGGATATCAGAAGATTGTAAGCCTTGGAGAACATGCTAGTTGGCAATGGCGAGTGCTCAAAAATGTGGATGTCCTCTTGATGTAGGATTTGACGGCACACAGGATATGTTCCTGCAACTTGTCCCAATTGGGAACTTGCTTGGACTTCCGCATTGCTTCGGGATGGATTGGTTTGGGGATTTGACCCCTTGTTCTTGTAGGGTAAAGCCACCCCCGAACCACCTATCCACGAATCCAAACCACCAATTGGATTGGAAGCTAAGAGGAGCTGTCCACCCTTCAGGCCTGATTCTCTGGCAGATAGTTCCAGTAAACCGACTGACTGAACATTCGCTGGTTCCCAATGTAGAGTCTTCGCACGAGAGGGGTCGCTCACGCTTAGCCGAACAGAGCCTATGGGTGGGGCACTGTTACAGGGAACACGTCACAAACTCTGTGCCATGCTTCCGTTCAGTGTGCAGGTCAGCCACTGATGTACCCTCGTGCTGACCTCTCCTATGCAGAGAACTTCCTGTGGCTTGGCTGCATTGCGGGTGAACAGCACAGGTAGGTTTGCATGTCTGGCCGGCAGTCAAAATTGTGGTAGTGATAGGACAGTGAGGTGTTTCCATCATAAACGTCATATGGTGCTGAAGGTCATGCCAGCTGCACATGGTTCTCTTCCCTGGATGCGAAACAGCAATGACCAGGTGTTTTTGTCTACAAAAACATGTAAGGGGCTCGCTATGTGTAATGTAGGTGTCCTGAAATATTTAGTACCCAGTCGTTGAAATACGTGTTTATCAATTTACCGTACTTGGCCCTATATATGTGTTGGATGATGCTCATGTGAAAAACAAAAAAACACTAGGCTGGTTGGTAGTGAGGTTTACATGACCACAAACCCCTGCCTGCACCTAATTCTGGAAGACCAATCTGAGACTGTTGCAGTGGCAGGCATGTGCCGCAATATTTCTGGAGCTTCCATTCATGAAAATATGTATATACAGGTTTGTTCAAGGCAAATTTGAGCAATATAGCATCACAGAGGCGCTGAGTTTGTGTGAGGGGACGATGCCAAAACCGCTGTAGCCGGCCACCCAGAAGGCCAGAGCCATAGTCCAATGCGAAGGGCTGGGGCTACCCAAGAAGACCCTGGGCTACGCAAGCGCCAAGCACAGGAATGGGGGACACAGTCTGGGCACAAGGGATTCACTGAGGCGTGGCAGCCGCATGGCCACGCATGTCCCCAAGACAGAACTAGAGCTGTAGCCTGAGGCTAGGGCTGGGTGAAGCCCCAAGAGCAAGTGCTGAGGGGTGGGGCCTCTTTACAGGGCAAGGGGCAGTGGCCAGAAGAATTAGGGGTTTGGGGTGGGGCAGTTGGGCTGGGGCTGACATGGCAATTCGTTCCTTGGCTATGATCCAACCAGGGGTCTGACCGCTTCCCGCCCTTGAGGGCCAAGGCAAACATATGACACCTGAATTGTGAGGTTGTGCCACCTACGTTCAGCCTACTGTGCGTGCGCGCGTCCTCCAGTTTCTGAAAACATACCAAAAGTCAGGGTGACAGTCTGTCCTCGAGCACCTGTGCCACAACATGACTCGCAAGTCCCAGCTCAACTCAAAGGCTGTTTGTGGCGGAACCCTTGCTGTATATCAATAGGCTGCTTACTCGGGTTTACAGGACTGTTTGCTCAGCATCCACCCTTTTTGAGTGTGGCGCGAATCCCAGAAAGGAGGATCCCGGACAAGCCTGCTCAATCTCAATGGCATTTTGAGGACAGCCCAGTGTGTTCAGCCAAGCAGGTATCGATTCACAAGCATGTTGTTTTCGCAACCAGAAGGTTACTGAGAGCCCCATGTATTCCCAGCGTTGGGCAACAACGAATCATTTGGTCACCTCGCACTGGAGATGCCGAGGTACATGATGTTTGCCACGCCCATGGAGGAGTACAAGGTAAACCCGGTGGCCGCCAAAGCGATCAACGCCTTCATGATCCTCCATATGGACCACGCGACCTGGCTATGTCTCAAGCCTTTGACGGCGGTGGATGGTTTCCCGTAGATATCTGAAAGCTATCAACCAAAGGGTCTCCGACATTGATTACTGTCTGAACTCGCACAAATAACAGCTCCCTTGTCTATGTCCTTTGAGCTGAACAACCAACCACCTTGAACATTTCCTGTTTGTTCTTGAACAACATCACTTTGAACTTTGAGCAGGATTTGTTTCCCTAGAGCAAACAGCCGCTTTGATCGGTTCCTGTTGTTTCTTTTTTGCTTGAAGAGCTTGAAATGACATCCGCTTGACCACATTTTCCCAGGGAATCCAAAGACATGAGTAAACAGCGTTTCATACGTCTTTAGCGAGTAAACATGGTCTTGGGAAATTTCACGCTCATTCACGCTGCTCACGTGTTCACCTCTTGTTCTGCCACTGCACAGTCAGGCATCACCACCGCATTTTGCGCCAGATTGGTATTGATATTGTGTGCACAATTTTCATTGTTCGATAAGATAGCGCTAGGCGCACGTGTAGTCTAGTGTTGGAGCTAGGCGTTTATCAGGCACCACGCCAGGATCATCCATTGGCTGGCTGGACACACCACAATTTACACTTCAGGGCTTGCACGAGCACCGTGCTGAGAAGTAGACCGAGATTGCCATGCACATTACACACAGGAAGAATCCAATCTACAATGCGCACATGCTAATTTTGTGGAAACATTGCGGCCAAATTTTGCAGGCCCAAGGATCTAGTCCGAGCCACATAGCTGGGCAAACGGCTTTGTAGCCATGTAATTGTTGCAGCCCGAACCAGCAGGTTGTGGCATTTGGATCCGGGGGGGGGGGGAATTCACGTTTTTTTCACGGGTAAACTCCGTCTTTCACGGGTAAACTCCGTCGTTCACGCAAAATTCACGGTTGGCTCACGGTCCCCGATTTGTCAACGATATTGGTGAAGCATACAAATATAAACCGATACTGTCTGCGATTCCCATACAGCACAGCTAGCCTAAAAGCATCCAATTACCACCTCCTAGACGGTAGCCCTGCCCATGGCACAACCCAAGACACGCTGTTGCGCAGTGCTGCCACGAGTGTGTTGTTGTGCGTGTGACTTCTTGTATGCTGATGCCATCGCGTGAGTCACGCAGCGCAGCAGCGAAATACTTGCATGTGGCCAAGGTAATCTTGATCCATGGGGTCCATATCCATGCATGCTGCATAGCTAGCATGAAGGCTTACCTTGTCACATGCGTGGAAAATATGCCATACATGACTGCAATGTACATTGTTTGGCATGCAGGCATGCACTGGACCTTTGATGGTGCTTTCAGTTCTTGGGCCCAGTCAACAAATACCCCATTCACGGGCCATTCACGGGTAAACACCGTCTTTTGGGTTAAACACCGTCTTTCTGTAAAGACATAGTTTACTAGCGACTTGGAAGTACTGGGTTTTGTTCTTTCTCCCTTGAATCAACATCCTGATTTCTTCTTTGAACAAACCACACTCATTGAGCAATTTATGCTTTGTATCTGGGTGAAGCCGCGGGGTTGTCCCCTATGCTTCCCAAGGTGATCTCAAAGCCACCAAACGCTGACATGCCTGTTTAGCGTTTAGGGGATATGTACAGCCGCCAACAAGCAAACCTCACTCGAGTTCCAGGTTTTTCTACTTTTGGGGCAAGATTATGCAGGTGGTAAATAAAAGGTTCCGGCTGTTTGGGGTCAATCCACTCAGGACGCAAGACAAAGGGTGATCTCAAAAACTACCGCAGAGAACCCTGTCTTGGACCGCCTTTATGGGTGGTTTTCCCGGTCTGTTTTCCCCTTAAACAAGCCAAAGAAAATGGGCACCTTCTCGCAAGCCAACGAGGAGCAGAACGCCTCCACCTCCACGGTGCGCATCGCCGGAAGCTCCCAGGCCAACCCCTACGCCTGCATCGCCGCAGGCGCGAAATGTTCCCCATATGTCTCTCTCACATTGGGGATGTTGTTGTTTTGAGGAAACCGAATTGTTGGTTTGTTGTGTGTTTTTGCTTTTTGGGTTGGATTCAAAGGAAGGAGGAAAACCACCGATCTTGGGGGGTCACCCTATTTTGAGACATACCCTGGTCCCCAAATGGTGGCTTTTCCGAAAAACGTTTTATGCCCTAAATGAGTGTGTTTTTTCAAGAGTACCCTTTCCGTTTTTGTTGTTTTTGGCTTTACGGGGACCACAGAGAAACCACCTTTGTTTTCTTGGTGGGGTTCGCCTTGCTGAGCCATACGATACGGAGGATGCCCTAGATATTGCAAGCAAAAAGGTAACCCTCTAGTATTTGGCAGAAGTTACTATAGTTGTGTGGCTCAACCCTTTGCAGCACGTGCGCGCGCTTCGAAGGGCTCGCAGAAGGATTTGGAAGAGGCTCGCAGAAGGCACCCTCCGTGCGGCAGGTTTTGCGGATCCGCTTCGTTGCCAAGGCCACAAAGCCATTGGAGTCCCAAGATGTGGGAGTGTACCACAGACCGCCAGTGGCGCGATTTATTTGTTCAATTTCTATTGGAGGGGGTTCCCCTACAGTTAGCCTAAAATCGATTAAAAGAGGGGCCACAATAATTACAGTACTCATAGCTTAGCTTACCTTCATGATTATGACTAGATTTGTTCTTTAAGGACCCCAAAACCCACTATCATTGTCTTGGCTGCTACATTACCCCACAAAAAAATCCTGTTCAACAGAATAATAAAGAGGTTCCAAATTAAAATCAACCAAAAAAGTTGTGCCTTTTCTTCTTTTTTGGAAATCACATTGACTTTCCCTCAGGCGTTGCATCCTTGTGGGGCCCCGCGCATGGCGGCGCCAATGAGGCGGTCCCTTCGGCAGCAAATTGGTAGTCGGGGGTTGATGAGCGTTCCCCCATTTTCTTTTCTGCTGGTATTCAAACATCACCATGTCTGTCTCGGTTAAGGTGAGTTTCCCTTGACAGGGGTGTTTTTTAGGGGGGGAATATTGCGAACCCTGTTGAGCATGAAGGTTCCCATGGTCGAAAAAGCTTTGCAACCTTGCACTTGTGGCTGGGTCATGGATCCTTTAGCAGGGAAACCCTTGACTCACTCCCTGAGTTTCTGGACTTTACACTTGACGGGAAAGCCATTTTGGCTGAAAAAACGGTTTCAACTTTTCTTAGCCAATCAGGAAGTGAGTCTGGGCAGCATGGGGACTACGAATTCGAGTTCTTAGACTGGGTACTACATGTGCAATTGTTTGTTTTTTTCTTGTGGGAAGCCACGAGGCAAGGCGTCTTTGGAAGCATGCATGGCGCTGGTAATTTCTTATTAGACACCTTGACCAAGAGGTGATGGACATGTCCAAATGTTCGAACCCCTCGCAGGTGAGTTCCAATTGCCCTCTTTTGGTTTTTCCGCTTTGATTTGTCAGCTTTGTCCGTTGCCCTGTCCGTTGCCCTGTCCATGACCAATGCATTTGTCACTGGGACCATAGAGCGGGACTCTACCTTTCAGCACGGCACGGTTCCCTTGTTGCAAAAGCAGCTATGTTCATGTAGATGGAGGGGCAAGCCTGCTTTCCTTGACACATGTTTGCAATGAATTAATGGCACAGCCGCTCTAACAGCCACGTCAGCTAGCTGGCTAAGAGAGATCAATTCTCGACGTTGAGGTGGCAGCAACCAGTTTGGCCTTGCCGTCATGGTTTGCCGTGGTTTGCCATGGTTTGCCATGCATGTTTATGGTTTGCGCATTTTTTCCCAGGTGTGCATATGTAATTTTAGCAAGTGGGTAAAGTCCAACATTCATTCCGTCAAACCCTGATATGAGCGCCTGAATGGCAGCCAGCAAAAAACAAAACTACACATGGAGGTCCTTCTATGTCGGTTTTTGGATGGTTTAAACATCAGCTTTTGAGCCAATGTCCATTGACTTTCCTAAAACAAAAGCGGACACATACATCAGCACCGTACAGGCTTACAGCCTTACATACAGACGGATTATTTTTCCCCTTAAACATCACACCAAAAGGAACATGCTCAACCAATCCCAAAGGGGATATATAGGGACCGCTGTCTCCCCCGAGGTCATCACAATGCTGGAGCAGATCGGGACCCGCGAGAACGTGGGCAAGTTCATCGCCGACGTCAAAGCGAAGAAGGCGCCGAGAGTGGACCCCCAGACCCATGGGGCGCTTCCTTTTTGTCCTTTCTTGGAGAAAAAAGCAGTGGGTGCAAAAAAAACGGTACGTATTCTCTTTTGGAGGGGTTTTCCCTGCTAAAACCAACTACAGTAATTACCACAAACAGAGTGCCAATTCTATGTTCCACTGCCACTTGGGGTCTGGGCTCCGTACCCTCTTTGCAAAAAGCGAAGAATCAAAGAAGAGAGTTTGTGATTAACTCCGGTCCTCTTGAACAGGCCGGCAGCCGTCCACTTCCAGGATTGTTGGAAACCCCCCCGGAGTATGCAAGTAGGACCTCAGATTGTGGCAGGATTTGTGGGAATGGCAACGGTTCCGTCCAACCTTGCAATCACAAAGCTGGGCCAATTGCAGTGGCCTTAGGGGGGTTACCGACCTAACCATGATGGAGTGATCTCTTTTCGGCAAACGGATCCTTGTAGGAAATGGCTGGAAGGGTTATTCCTTATTCCTGGACAATAAGATCCAATGGCTTGTGCGGAAATGTCTCGCACTCAAGAAGAGGAAGCAACAGAATCTAGTTGACACTGCCCGAGCAACAATCGCAGGAATCTGACACTTGAACTAGGAGGTGTCTGCCCCTTCTTGAATCCTTGCTCGTAGCATCGACAGAAACAAACTAGAGGACCTGAGGAATGAGTTCTGTCAACTGTCATGAACGTGAACAGTGGAATACTTCAATCGGTTGCACATTGCTACATCGTGACATAATGTACAAAGCCAGGGATACACCCCGAGGTGTATGTATAGATGTATACACTTATTTAGCAACTGTTGTAGACAGTGAACTTGCGTCAGCAATACCCTTGCCTAGAACCGTGTTTGTATTGGTAGGTGCACACTTGAGATGTATATCACCCGCATATGCATTTCTATGCGCGGACATAGTGTTATATACATGTAAAATAATACATATATATATATATAGCTATATACATAAGTTCTAGAGGACTCGTTGATCCCGTGAAACGCGCTCGATGTCCTTTGCCTGCGAGGAGGGTGTGCGCCTGATGGGCTTTGGGCACCGCGTCTACAAGAACTATGCCCCTTGGCGCGGCTTCGCCTGCTTTGAGCCGCGAAGGTCTCGTCGGCTTGTTGAGTCTTTTTTTCCCATGCATTGCATCAACTGAATGAATGGATTTTCTTACAGACATTTGCTGTATGTTGTGCGTTGTATTTTCTAGTGCTGTTGGTGTACGCTAGAGATGTGGGCCATCATCCCGTATTTCTCTATGGTGAGTCAATCATGATTCAAGGGCACAAACTCGACACGAGGGTTTCTCAAAGTGGTCTCCCTTTCGGAAGGGGATTGAAAGGGAAAGCAGAATAAAACCAACCATATGGACCACCATTTTGAGAAACCCGCATGCACAGACATACTCTTAATTCTCAACAGGAAATCTCTTGCCAGCGGGCAAGAGATCCCCTGCCTTCTGAGAAAGATCGCTCGCGGTATGCCAGCGATGCCTTTTGTCTTTGACATTAAGGTGTGCGATTCGTCTGAGGCTTTTGATAAGTCTGGTTGGGGAAGCATGGTTTCATGGGATCCCACCCCCTCTGCTCAACAGGTCCTTGGTGAGGCTCCAGGGCTTTCAGGGGGGGGGGGGCGCATGCTGTTGAGACTCTCTTCCCTACATTCAGGGAATCAGCCACCGCTTTTTGCATAGGCCCCGTGTGGCCATAAAATTTAGGGGAATCACCTGCGAAGTGGTGGACATGCATCCCAACCATGTCCGCCATTCGGTCTGAGGACCCCAGGGCCAAGGTGATGAAGGGCCTCGTGGCCCAGGCGCGGCAGTCTGAAGCCACAGCTGTTTGCTAGTGGTTTCCTTAAACCAAACGGGTGGCCTCAACAAAAACACCAGCAGTTGGGTCAAAGCAGATGCCACTCTTCCGCTATTTCGCTTGAGTTTAGTCATCCCCTTTACCCGCGTGCAGGGAATTGTGCCAACGTTCGCCCTGGCGTACCCACCTTCTGGCAATCCTGGGAGTGGACGCTTGGAGCCTCCCCGACTTCCATGATTGGAGGGAATGCCAAGCTAAAGGAAAACAAGCTGAACCTCAACTGTCAGGGTGTAGGCTTAGTCAGATATATGGGCATGTCTTTTTTGGGGGGACTCGCCGAATATTTGCCTTCCTTTTGGTTTCCTTTTCAAAACCACAAAAGAACGGAGCCCTCAAAAACATACTTGCACATATGGGTGATTTTGTTTTGAGGCTAGCAGAGGGAAAGTAAGGGGGAGCCACCCATGTCGGGGTTCCCACATTGGAGAGAAGCCCTGTGGGTTTACGTGACCCCAGCACCCTTGCGAGGCTTCGCTTGGAAGCGTCGTCTTGAATCAAATCTTAATCCTTAAGCCTGGTGCCAGATTGTTGTCCACCCAACCGCTGCTTTGCTGGCGACAGTACTTTCGATTTTCAGCATGGGACAGAACAGTTGTTGGGTGCTGGGTGGTTTCCCTGTTTTCACGCAGTGTCCCACTCATGTCGGATCGGGATCTGAGATGCCCACATCTTGAACAACACAAAATGCTTCAAGGGGGGACAAGAACCCGGGTGACAGACACCCGAGAGAATTTGGACAGAATGGCCTTCCTTCAACAGGAACATCTGGGTCTGTCTTTCTGGAGGGTACCCCGTTTTCTTTGCGGTTTTAAAGGAACCTGAAAGGAATAGCCATTTTGAGGTCCCCTAAAAACAGACACTGTCACATCCATCTTCACGTCTAGAGGCGCAGACTTCTTCTTTTCCAATGTGGGCAGCGGTCTGAGCCTCTAAAGTCAGCCAAAGCACAAGGGTAAGTGGGAGCTTCTCAAACTGGCGGACCTGCTTTCAGTTGGTATGTGCAGGGCAACCACAAGAAAACCGCCAACATCTTGTTGTACCTTCCGACTTGATGATAGACGATATTCAAACGTGGAAGTGTGTGGTTGACATTGACCTTTGCACCAAAAAGAACAAGCAAAAGCTGGAGGTTCAGCATCTCAACTTGGGACCATTAGGACCTTAGGAGCGAGCGAAGCAGACCTCCATCCTTTTTTGCAGGTGCTGAAAGAGCTGGGGGTGGATGATCCGCTGCTCGGCGTGGCGCAGGAGCTTGAAAAGGCACGGCTGACGCCCTCAGCCGACACTAAACCGTCCCATGGTTGGCCGGTCAAGGAATCGACACATCCCGATAAGGTAGCCCCTTTTGGAATAAACTCTGTTTGGGGGTTGTTTTAAGGGAATCCAAAGTAAACCAACCCTGTCAGGGTTCCCCATTTGCACTTAACATTTATTTAATTGGCAATGGTCTTGAAAGCACAAATTGGGTTCAGTTGTCCTGTCTTGCTTTGCTTGGGTGGGAACGAGACAGGCACTCCCCCAAAGGCCAGCAGTCTTTCTCTTGAAAGGGACGTCTGTACACTTTTGTCTTCCCCTCGCAAAAGGCGTCACCTCCACCGGCTCCCCTCCCAAATAGCACTTGCGGAGAAACATAATTTTATGATCAGGGCGGAAGATTAATGCACGAGAACGAATGGCATGATGTACACCGGCCGCGGTTTCACGCTGAAAGTTGGGCCGGGGGTAGATGCTCCGAGGTATCCCCATCAAAAGAGCAATGACCAGGCCAAGGGCCTGTTTCCTTGTGGAAGTATGCGCCATTTGGTGGCGTTGGCCATGGCGGTGTACTGTCTTCAGTCTTTTCAATGTAGCCAACGCGCAAAAGGAGCTGTTCGGTTTAAATGAAGCAACAAATAATGAAGCGAGAAGCAACTTTTTTCGGATGGATGTTGGGTGTTGCCCAAACTGAAGAACGGTGCTTAAAAGCTTCAGGTCCGAGCAGTCACCGAGATGTTCCAGCTGTAGAGAGACACTTGTGGAGGAACAGCTTGGGTTTGATGTTGGCTTTGCCAAGAAAGCCCCAAACGGTCACTCTCCGGGTAGCCAAAATGGAGATCCGGCGCAGCCCAAGCGGCTGCTCCCTGTTAATTACCCTGGCAGTCCCAGCCACATTTAGCGCTTAGAGGGATTTGCAACGTATCCCAGCAAGGTATCAACGAGCCAAGTCCCGGACACCCAGTAAAAGTTGTTTGTTTGCTTGTTTGCTTTCTTTGGATGGCTTCCTTTTATGGTCAACTTCCCAAATGTACCCCCGCCCACCCATTTTTCCATGGACAATGGGAGTTTGGGTTTGGGCCAGTTTCATAAGTACCCAAATCCCAGTTGATTTGGAGGATCCGAATCCTCGTTCCTGGCCTTTAAATGGCCACTGAGCTGTGTCGCGGAGGCCGCGCTGAGCGACGACTACTTCGTGCAGCGGAAGCTGTACCCGAATGTGGACTACTACTCGGGGATCATGCTCCGGGCCATCGGCATTCCTACCTCCATGTTCACGGCACCTTTGGTTGCATGCGCCCCCAGTTTGAGAAGCTTCCTGGACCACTGCATTTCCCTCAGGACCATTGACAGTTGTGAATGGTGCGTGTGTGCGTGTGTGTGTGTCTTGGTTTGAAGGGACACCTCGCTCTAGGGGGTGGTTTTCAAGGAACACCAGAGGGAAAACCACCCGTTTGGTGTGCAGGTTCAATTTGAAGACCAGCCCATTTGACTTGCAGAATGTTAGGGCGTTAACTAGTTTTTCCCCTTGAAGGATTATTTCAACCATAACCTGTTACAGAGGCCAAGCGTGAGTGTCCTTTTCAAGCGTGTTTGACAGCTTTCCGTGATATGATTGTGTAATGTTTTGGAGCCCTTTAAAACCAAAGTAAGCCATGACCATAGGAGAGAAAATGTGTTTTTTGTTAGTCCCGTATACTCAGGTAGCCCTTAGCTGGTGGTTTGGATTGGTGGTGGGATTGAACCCCTGGTTCTTGTAGCTGGGCTGCAAGCTCCAAACCATCAGGGGAAGGGAAGCTGAATGTTATGGCCCCAAGTGTCACCCATGAAGTCTCCTTGTAGAAATATCCTAGCTCACGTTGTGACACGGGGGAGTCTCGTTGAGGCCAAAGACACATTCGGGGCTCCGCTTTTTCAAGACACGCACAAATGATAGTGGCTCTGGAATTGGGCTATGCTTCGACAGAGAAGCTAATACACCTTTGCAAGTGATGTTGGGCATGTTGGTCAAATGTGATTGTTTCGCTTTTATTGGATGTCAACTTATACATATTCTCTGAGAGCCCATGAGCAAAGCTGTCACGACCTTGTGAAGGAAGATTGCAACAACAAGTGCTGCTTGGTCATCGCTGCAGTTTCAGATCAAAAGATGTAATCGGCATTTGTTGGGAGATTCTGTCTTACTGTTGATTTTCGGTTGTTTTTAGTGGCGCCACGCGCTCCGCCGAATAACGCGTGTTTCAATCCACTTTCGCCATGCTTCCTCAAAAAGGTGGTGACCTTTCCGAGGTTGTCAATGGGTGGGAGGTTTTAAACCTCCCAAATGGGTATGGGTTCGAAAGCAGCCCAGGTCATGTTTGCCATGTCGCGGACGGTCGGCTGGGTATCTCAGTGGAATGAGATGGCCGGAACCTCAGTTGAATCGCCCTTTGAGCGATCGGCGACATGAGAGCTCATGGGCGGGTAAGTTTGTTGGGTTTGTTTACAGGAGAACAAAATGGAACCACACATTTTTGAGGTCCCCGTCCGTGTCGTCATATTCTGCGCCGCTTTTGCCATGATGGGTTTGCAGTGTTTTTAGGGTGTGTGGTTTTGCTTGTTCCACACGAAAACCAAAGGGAAACCACGCATTCTTACAAGACGACCAGAGGAACCCACGCATTCTGAGTTTCGGTGATTGCAGCTACCTGCAGAATAGGTGCGAAAGCAAGGAAACTACCTTTCAACACCCACCTAGCAGGAACTCAATGCCTGGTTGCCTGCTCTTAGTGACAATTAACTTGGATCCACTGGGTTTGCTTTGGATTCATGCGGGTCTTTTGTACTCACCACTCCCGCAATGGACCAATCCAGCTCAAGTTACGTGTCCGCAGTGAACATTACAACGAGAAGTGCGGCGGGGAGAGCACCATCCCGTCGCTTTTCAGAAATCTCCTGCAAGACTAGTTTTGAGGTTCATCTCCCATAGAGGAAGCAGGTATTTTTTGCGATGTTTGGATGCCCCTTTGTCAGTTCGCTGGTGTTCCAAGGATGTCACCGGCTTGGAGTGAGCTCAGATTTTGATGCTCAGCCAACAGTGTGGGCAATTGTGAGTCTCTGAAGGTTGTTTATTTGCATGCAGCAGACGAGAACGGGCTATGCTGCACAGTTCCATACCAGTCTCACATACATAGACAAACACAGACAGGATCTCAATATGAACATGAGCTGCGGTCGACATCTGAAATTACTTAAAGGACACAATGAGTCAGTCCCTGGCTGAAAATTCGTCAATGCCCCCTATGCCTGTATGTCCCAAACCCCAAATTGACCTCCGACAAGTTTATGTTGACCGGGCCTCACTAGCATCAACAATCCCAGCAGAACAAGCAAAGGTTGATGCCATCCTTTGAACTGAGTCCTGCAAACTGGTGTATGCCCAACATGTCGCGGCTGTGCTAAAAATCAAAATCATCAATCCCTATCGGATTCTGTGAGTCTCAAATGAAAGCCAAAGGAACCCGGAACACCATTGCTAGGAGTTCAGCAAATCAATCTTACTTCAAGTTTCAAGCAGGGTTTCCTGAAATAGTAGGGCACCCCCATGGGCGGGGAAAGAGGAGTTGACTCTCATTTCTGTGATGACGGGGAACCTGCCCCGGGCCATCAATCACTGGGAATTCCTTCCCAGGGCCAAAGCGGGTCCTTTCGTTTGCGGAATTGGTTGTTGTTCAATTCGGTTTCCGTCCAATCGCCGTCCAAACAGGATTGCGATTGAAATTTGCGTTTTTTGGTACCTTCCCACTAAGACTGGTCAGGCCCACAGGGGCCCACCAGAGTTTCCTTGTTCAACCAGAGTCACATCACTGCGACTGTTTGAAACCCTTTCCGCGCAAACGGAGCCGCGCGGGAGCCGCACGTGACCGCGCGTGGAGGTCGCGGAGGGCCAGATGCGCATCGGCCGGCCACGGCAGCTCTACGTGGGACCCCAGGAAAGGACTTGGAAGCCTGAGGACCCGGGAGCGGAAAGGATGCTTATAATCAACATCAGGAGGTTATAACTTATAACCATGATCATAACTGGTGCAACTGGGAACTGTCCCGTTAGTAGCCATGGTTATACAGGGGTCCCTAAATTCCCTCTTTTGAGCCTCCAAAAGTGGCAACTGTTGCACGGGGAATCCAGTGACCTTTGTTGTCACCTGCTTGCTAAGTTGGTTAAACTATCAACAGGGGTCTCGAATCTTTTGGTTTCAATGGTGGTGTTTTGCGCCTGATTCATACCCCCTGGCTGTTTTTGGACGGGGTGTTTCTCTTTAGTGGGAATCCTTTACTTGTGTGGCATTTGTTATCTGGGCCAAGGGTTTACCGAGGGAGAAGCCTTGCATGGCGGTCAGACATTGCATTCCCTCTAGGCAGTTCATGCTTGCATCAATGCATATATTTAGATGTATCTATATGTTTATACGCTTGTAAGAAATATATTTAATTGTAATCACTCAATGATAGAGATACCTATGTGATCTTGCCAAGTCAGTGTGGAACAACAAGTACAAGCTTTTTGTGCCTGACCCTGAACCTTCTAGTTCTTTGACGTCTCTTTGTTGCCAACTGGCAGGACGGCTTGCCCCAGATGTACACCTAGTGTAGGGCTTCTCTTGGAGGCATGCCACCCTTTAAAGGCACCACCCTGCCGGCAATCAGAGTGTTGATTCCAGGGATGCACAGGTCAGGAACCTTCGCGCCATCCACAAGCCAACTTGGGGCCTTCGCAAGGAACCAGCCCTCCTTGAGCCGTTTCGGTTGGCCGAGAAACCCGACTAGGTCTTGATTTCCCCTAAACAAAAACTCCAAAAACTATGTTGAATTCTCTGTGTGAAATGCCACTTCTCAGATACCAAGGGTTGGAATTGTCAGCCATGTTCCAGTTATAACCATGATTCTAACCTAAGTTGGTTGAACGTCCAAGTTGTGTCCAGACGAGTAACCCTGCCCGATTCGATTTGATTCGCAGGACATGTCGGAGGAGAAGAGCCCATCACAAACAGTGGTGAACTTCGCACCACGGACACCCGGACTCACAAAAATGGGGCGAGTGAGTTGGGAAACATGTGGGTGGCTCGGGGTTTTAAAGGAGAATCACATGAAACCACCATTTTGGAGGTCACCCAAAAGAGAGACACCCAAAAGGGTGTCGTTTTTGTTGCAGACGACTCTTTTTGGGCTGCTTGTAAAGGGAATCAAAGAGAACCACTGGTTGGGGGTTGTCTCCAAGCAACGAACAATATTGCCGCTCTGTTCTTCATTTCGCGAGGATGAGACGGGGTGCCGTGTTCTCGCCCAGTTGAATCAATTGTAGATAATGTCCGTGGCGCATATCTTGCCGGATTGATAGGCAGGGAATGAGGGAATGACCCCCTACCAACCATCCTTTTTGGCTTAAAAGAAATCCCCAGGTTCATTCCCAAAACTCTAGTTGATTCCCTGCTCAGAACCAGCAAAATATGGGATTGTGTTTTTTTGGAGAGTAGACGCTGTGCTTTTTGCGTGGGGGTGGGGTGGGGGGGGGAAAGAACAGGAACATCACTTTTCTGGGAGTCCCCCAATTTTGACGCATACCCATATTGTCCAAAAACCTCCTCTACTGGGGTTGGTAGGGATGGTCGTGGTCGCCGTAGTGAGGATTGGAGACAACCATTCGTAAGGGACCCACGATCCTGACCCACAAAAGGAGTTTTGAGCGGGGTTCATTTGGTTCAGGGTTTTGTTGTTTGGATGTTTCTCTGAATGTCAAAACTACTGAACATCATACCCAGAGGGTCCAAGCACGTTGGTGGAATGTTCCTCTTAAACTAGAAATTGAGGTACTCTCAGCAAATGCGCCAGGAGGGAAGCATGAGAATGACCTTATGCAGAATTGACCATGGCACGCAGGCCGTAATGTTTGCTTGGAACACCCTCAAATAGAATTTGCATTTGTGAATCTGGGATCCCAGCGTGGTTGGAACCCAGAATTCAGCAGAAATTCACACCAGAATTAGCCAGTAGTCTATGGTGCATTTGAGGTTCGAGATATTGGCGGCTCGCGCGAAATTCAACCAAAGCCAGATGACGCAACCCACAATTCGCCGTTGTCCTGTGAGGAACTGCCGAGCTACCACAATGGTACCTAACATTTACTGTACTATCTTTGTTTTACTTGGGCCCGGTTTTTGGAATCCCCATGTTAAAGTGACCCTGGTCTTTGGAGGAACGAATGGCCCCTCAGATTTGTGTGTTTTCATCCTTACGAAAAGTCTAGCGACCTTTGCTCAGGGCATGGAGCAACCCCCGCCCCCGGGGCGCATTTTGGTTGAACGTGCCGAGGAGATCCTCCTCTTTCTCCAAGCGCGTACCAGATGTCTCAACCCGCTGAGCTTTGCAGACCTTCGTTTCCACTACTTGGCTCGGTCTTTTGGCGGTAATTTCTCTTTTTTGTTGTTTGAAAGAGAAAGCAAAAGGAAAGCCACCGGTCGGCGGGGTGGGGGTCCCCTACAAACTGACACTCCCAAGTACAGATTGATGGGTCATATGTGCTAGGGGCTGAGTTCGCGGCTGCTAATATGGCGAGGTCTGGCAGGGGTCACCGCTTCAAGCCTTCGCGCTCCTGTGTTGAATCATGTGGCTGTGTCTTAATAGAGATCCGTAAAATGATAGATTTTTCACAGGTGTTCTGAAAAGGGTTACCAAAAACCACACCCACAGCAATTTGCGAGCCGAATGCTAGATCTTCTTTGTGTAGGGCGTTTGAAGGAAGGATACCCTCAAGGCCATCGTCCGGCATTCTGCTCGATCGCTTTTGGGAGCCAGTCCATCAATCGGATGAGCAGATGAGCATCCATCGTGAGGTTCCTTGCATATCCGGACAACATAGTTGTCATGAGAGCACGTTAAATCAAGCAGCGGCAGCCTCGATTGTCGAAAGCAGGCCTTTTCCATGTTTGTTTGGTGGGTTCCTGACTGAAAATGGTCAACTCCAAAACGGGTTCTCTTTTATACCAGGGTCTCTAGACAACTTGGATGACCTACCCATGGACGCATTTGCTTGCCGATATGCTGGATCATGGCGGTTGAATGGAAGCTAGGGGCTTTTCAGGAAGTGACCTTGAATACTGCCCTGTTCCTCATCTACAGGGCTGTGTTTCTTTGAGGACACTTGCCAGTAGGTCCCTGGGTCTTAAGTTGCATTCCCCGTTGGTCTTTTCGTGGAGGAAGAAGTCACTGTCCCGGACCTCGACTTGGCACGCGCGTGTTGCCGCGTTGCGGTCGTGTTGACGTGCATGGGCATTTCCGGCAAAGGCCGTGAATGTATCCCGTGCCGCGATCATTTGTCAGTTTGAACGCTGGGGCGCACGCGCGCTACTTTTGAACTGACGCATTTGAGGCCTCCGGTAGGTCGCAGGTGCACATTTCAGATTTCAGATCAATGACCGCCCGATCAAGAGTGATTTTCCCCTTCAGCTGGGCCTTGTATTTATTGAAACTGCTGAGTCCTTAATGTATTGCTGGTTCTTTGCCCCATGGAGGGACCACGTGTAGAGGGTGACCGCATGCCAAAGTAGCCGAGCTAATCGACACGTGGGTGTGCATGTGGGTGTGTGTCTCTCTTTGAGGGTACTTCTTGAAGTTATGTCAAAGGCAAACCAAGAGAAGATCTGTGCATCGCATGGCAATTGGCCTCCACCTACCGGGGGCTGAGATTGATCCTGGCCATGTGTCCGGCTCGGATCCCGTTCCAAAGTCGTTTTGAAGCAGTGCGCGCTTGGCCAAGATAGGCGCGCGCAAGGGGGACTTACACAATTATCTGGATCCATTTATGCTTTTGTTTGTCGTTTTCAGAACTTTTTGTTTTCCGAACCCCTTAGAAGTGTTTCTCGAGCATTTTCAACAACATGGTCTAAGCATAAGTGTCCACGTGTGAGTGACGGCCGCATTGCGCCTTTCTGCTTTTGTGGCCACGTGCTGCCTAATTATAGTTTCAGATCAGAGTTTCGACGATTAAAAGCTGCTTGCCCTCATGGTGCGCAGAGACCTTCCTTTACAAAAATATAGAATGCTTACTCCAAAAGGGGCGCCATACCTTGCGATTGGCACGGGAAGTTGATCATGCACCGCCTGCCCCGTGTAGCTTGGACAGGTACGGCGATGGGGACCAATCTGACACCGCTTTGGATGGGTGAGAAATAGCCCGTCGATTTTCCCACAAGGACCTGACCGGGCATGCATGGGTATTAGTTTGATTTGTCCACCCCTTATTCAAGACCCCAGGAAAACAGGCCGATTTTGCAGGGGAACGAGCTCACCAGCAGGCGGAGATCCCTAGTTTTGGCGGAGATCTTTAGGTCTTTGTTGTAGGTTGACCCAGACCTCCAATGTCCGTTAATCATTTTCTGGAGGAGGTTCCCTTTAAATTCCATGGCCACAAGCCCTTTTTTCCCGTGCCACGGGGGGTATGTGGTAAATAGCACAGTAGGGGAAGTCTACCGAGGCGCGATGTTCACCAGGGTTATTTTTGTTTTTATCAACAAAGGTCACTCAACTGGGTAGGTTTGATTTCCGGTTTGTGATTCGGGGGCTGCCACTTGCATCCAGCAACTCCCAGAGGCACCACATTCATGGAAGCCTGTGGCCCAAGGTCCGTAAAGGCTTGCAAAAGAGGCTCCAATAGTAGCCTTAAATGCGGTTTCGTATTTGCTCAGGGGAAGCAACTATATTTCGGTTGCTATTCAAATTGGGGGAGGAACATATAAGTGGGTTCCCTTTGGTTTTGCGTCTAACACAACCTCAACAAGGGTACCGGTCAAAGCAAATCCAACCGATTTATGCGCGCGCATGCGCTTGCAAACATATTGAGCATGTAGGGGGGGGGATCTGAAAAGTATCCTGCCAGGTACCTCCCAGCCCCCCAGTCTTTCTGTGAACGCGGACCGGGCGCGCACGCGAATGTGCTTCCTGCCGAGGTGCCTTCCGCAAAGCCCGGAGAGAGCCGCTTGGTCGCGTGGGTTTTCAGTTGACAGCTTCAGGGTCGATAGGCCCAAATAGGCTAAGTTGCTCGGAGCAGAGGGCTTAGAAAGGGTTGCAAAAGGGTTGCAGAAGGGTTGCTGTTGGGGATTTCCCCTGGCCTTGTTTTCCCCCGACAGCAACGGCTATAGGGTCTCAACCAATCCCAGGTTTGGGCAGGTTCCGGTGAGGTTCAGGTGTCAATCTTCGGACCCTTCGGTGGGTCATGTGAAGCGGAAACCCAACCTCAAATGCAACCATTTGGAAGCCAACAGTCAGGTAGAGGTGTGGTGAGATTTGGTAATGGTTGCTTGCTTGTGCCGAACACATGAATAGTTCGGGGTTGGCATGGATGTGAAGCGTCCTTTTCGTTTTCCTACCCCCAAAATGGCAAACTAGCAGAACACTGCACACATCATCGATTCTGTTGCCAAAGTGGCTCCCTGAGGCAACAGCTGCACAGTCCTCAACGGAGCCGCCACAATTTGCTTCTGCACAGTGAAAGTCAGTCCGAGATTGCAACGCCCGCACCTTTAAATTCAAAATAGTGTCATGAAATACTGTCAGATTCCCAGCTAAATTCACCAGAGTAAGTCTTGGCACCATTGTATTCTGATGCTGTCCTTTTCGATTCACAATAATTGGACAATGCGGGTTCCTTGTCGCACTGTGCCTTTGCCCAGGCACAACTCCATCCTCGCCTGTGCTCCCCTCAGTGCAGCAGCTGGTGACGCAAGCAGACATCGAACGAGCCAGCAAGCAACCATACATGGAGTAGGGCTGCGGACCGCTTGAGGACTACATCATTGTTATGTTGATCATGATCATGTTTTTGGGAAAGGCCATGACCATTCCTCATAGCGTGAACTCTTTATTTTGCTTGTCATGTGACCCTCCTGGGACGGTGTTCATGGGAATTCCAGGGGAAGAAGGCCGATTTAGATGGCAATGTCCTGAAAACTGCTCACAGGTTTTAAATGGGGTTGTCGCCTTATCCCCACTCCCTTAAAATGGAATTGGGATCACCCTGAATTACATTTGTGGTTCGATGTTCCCTTTATTCCCCATCCCTTGAGGTAGGGGGGATGCCACATGTTCATGGTCTTTTTTGATGGAGGACGGACCACCGAGCTTCAGGGTCCCATTGTTTGCTAGCTTTCCTCATCAGATGAGCCAACCCTAGGACCCCCGGTAAATGGGTTTGTCTCAAAATAGGTGTACCCCAAAACGGGTGGTTTACCTTTTTGGTTTTCCCTTGAACTTCTGCTGCTTGGTTTGGCCATCCCGTTAACCCACACTGTTTTAAGCCTTAAGACACCAAAACGGGCGTTTCTCGAAATAGGGGTCTCGTTCTTGGAAGCATTTTGAGAATCTCCGAAATGGAGCCCCGCCCAACAGGCCGCCCCGCCGAATCGGGCCGATATCTGGTCCGATTCTTTTTCAGGCGGTGAGCTGCCGCGAGGCCGAGAGCGAGGATGAGGCGTTGGCGGATGCGCCAGGGGCCCCGAAACCGGCGGTTGGCCCCTGAGGCCTTTTGGAGCCGATGTCCTTCTTGGAATCAATCAGCGACCACAATGTGAGCCTTAGACCGGTTGGAAACTTGATTGTCCATGAAACCTGCGAAAGGTTTTTGGCCAATCCAGAGGAACTCATCGAAAGGGTGAACTTATTTTTGACAGTTTCCGTTGCTTACCCTTCAATGGGTTTCAGAACGTTTTCCCAGTGGATCATTGCCAGACTTCACTGGCTTCTTTGCCTACTTGCCCCTAGCTCTCGTAGCTTTTCAGCACCTTACGTTTGAGAGCAAACCGTGAACTCTGTGCAGGAAATCTAAGTCTGGCGCCCAGTTCCATGAACGTTTATAGAAGTTCCTCCAGCTCAAGCAAAGAACGCCACCACAAGTGCCCATCTTGATCCACAAGATGGGCTCCCCACTTTGAGGAACCTAAAACAAACTGGCTCTGTGTGCGTAGATGAACCCTTTTGAGGGAACTCAGTTCCCTTTTGGTTCCTCTTGAAAGCCGGCCAATTCAAAGAACAACCTACGGAAATCATACAAGAATTCCTTTCGATCGGTGTCCCCATTTCGAACCACTCCCCCAGTTTGTGACTGTGAACTTTCCTTTAAGTTACTTGTTGGTTGTAAACAACAAATCTGGATTGCTTGTTTGACCGATCTGTTCAGATAAGTGGGGTAATCATGTTCCTCCTATAATAATATAAGCGACGCAAACATTGGCTGGCAGAAAAAAAAAGCACATGCATCATACCATATATACATACATGTAATATGTTTATTGACTATGTATTATATAAATATATAATAGTACATAATAAATAAACAATATGACCTATATATATCTATATATGTATAGCTTAGTGTATATACATTATTGACAATAGAGGGAAGCGATGGACAATGTCTT